CCAGATGTAGTGCTGCGTGTTCTTTCAAAATAGTTCAATGTGTTTAGGCCTACCATAATATGTTAGACACTCAATGTCATAGCACTATGCTTCCTCACCAAATTATAATTTTTAAAAAACTGGATTAATTTTGAATACAAATGCAGATGCTGAATACATTTGGCCTACTGTTGCTGTTGTGTGAAATTATTGTACATATGATTATTGTGCAATACAAGTTATCTTGTATGGAGAAGATAATTTTTTCCACTATATACAGTGGTGCTTAAAAGTTTGTGAAACCTTTTGAATTTCAATATTTCTGCATGAAATGATCTAAAACACAATCTGTTCTCCACACAAGTCCTAAAACTAGATAAAGACAACCCAATTAAACAAATGAATCAAAAACATTATACTTGTTAATTTGTTTGTTGAGGAAAATGATCCAAAGCTACATATTTGTGCTGGTAAAAGTAAGTAAACCTCAAGGATTATCAATTCATTTGAAGGGAAAATTAGTGCCAGGTGTTTCAATCTATGGGATGACAATCAGGGGTGAGTGTGGGAGGTCCTGCCTTATTTAAAGAATAGAATTCTGGATATTCACTATTGATGTCTGATCTTCACAACACAGGTGGTGAAAGTGTGTTATGCTTGAACAAATGAGAAGTCCGTAATGGTATGTGGGAATGATCTTGGGAGACAGGAGGAAGAGCTGCAGCCTAGATAACGGTCTGATAAACGAAATCTGAGACCTAAAGAGGATGGATAGTGAAAGAAGGGACCCTCCCTAGTTTTCAGAAGAGTAAAAGTGAGGGATGGGAGGGGTACTTTAGACTTTCAAGATTCTGTTAATGTAAACTTACAATAAAGAAAGAGCTAATACTCCTGGTTGTGCTTCTTGCCTGGACTATCTGGCAAGGCTAACAATTTCTGAAGATCTCCAAAAAACAGTTGCTGATGCTCACCAGGCTGGAAATGGTTAAAAAAACTATTTCCAAAGAGTTGGGACTCCCTAGTCTACTGTCAGGCAGATTATGTACAAATGGAGGCAAGTCAACACCATTGTTACCCTCCCCAGGAGTGGTCAACCAACCAAAATCACACCAAGAGCAGGGCATATAATACTCCAGGAGGTCTCAAAAAACCTCCAAAAAAACAGGGTAATGTCTAAGGAACTAAAGGCCTCTGTTGCATTGGTGAATGTCAGTGTTCATGAGACCACCATCAGGAGAAGACTAAACAATAATGGTATGCATGGCAGGGTTGCAAGGAGAAAGCCACTCCTCTCCAAAAAGGACATTGCTGCTTGTCTACAGTTTGCAAAAGACAACATGGATAAGCCAGAAGGCTATTGGAAGAATGTTCTGTGGACAGATGAGACCAAAATAGAACTTTTTGGCTTGAATGAAAAGTGCCATATTTGGCAAAAGGCAACCACTGCATTCCAGCAAAAGAAACATGGTGGCAGTATCATGGGTTTGGGCTTGCTTTGCTGCCTCTGGACCAGGACGGCTTGCCAATGAACTATGAATTCTGAATTGTACCAGCAAATTCTACAGGCAAATGTCAGGGTATCTGTCTGTGTAATGAAGCTCAGGAGAAAGTGGGTCATGCAGCAAGACAACAACCCAAAACACACAAGTCGCACAAGCAAAGAATAGTTAAAGCAGAAGAAAGTTAACGTTTTGGAATGGCCAAGTCAAAGTCCTGACCTTAATCCTATAGAAATGTTGTGGAAGATCTGAAGTGGGCAGTTCATGCAAGGAAGCCCACCAACATCCCCGAGTTGAAGCTGTTCTGTAAGGAGGAATAGGCTAAAATTCCTCCAAGCCAATGCACAGGACTGATCAACAGTTATCGGAAATATTTAATGCTGCAGTTATTGTTGCCTAAGGGGGGGGGGACACCAGTTACTGAAACCAAAGGTTCGCATACTTTTAATAAATGAACAAGTATAATGTTTCTGACTCATTTGTTTAATTGGGTTCTCTTTATCTAGTTTTTAGACTTGTGTGAAGAACAGATCAAGTTTTATGTCATATTTATGCATAAATACTAAAATTCAAAAGGTTTCACAAACTTTTAAGCACCACTATATATAGTGGAAAAAATTACCTTCTCCATACAAGATAACTTGTATTGCAAAATAATCATACATACAATAATTTCACACAACAGCAACAGTAGGCCAAATGTATTCAGCATCTGCATTTGTATGCAAAATTTATGCATCACTCTCACTGATTTTCATCAGTGCTCTTCATGTGGAGTTTTCCTTTGGTCATTTACAAAGGTACAACAACACTAAAGTGTCAGTTGTAGTTTTGCTAACTATTAAGTAAATTGTTTGGAAACTCTAATTACTCTAGCTAGTATAGTTAGCTATGTGTGGAATGAGATGGTTTCAAAAGTGAGATTCCATAAATAGTCAAGGTAAAAAGAAATTTTTGCATACTTCCAACAAATCTTTTCCATTTACCTAATTCAAAAACTAGTGGATTCATCCAATAATTCAGTACTGGTGCTTTATTTATTTATTTGTTTATTTAAGAGTAGCATATAATAAAATGATTGAAATTCAATAGTAATAGAATATTATTCACATTTTAATTTATTTTATAATTTGTTTGGATTTCAGCCTTTACCTGTCATGATACTGGAGCAACTGTCTTAGCATATGCCCCCAAACACCAACTATTAATATCTGGTGGAAGAAGAGGCTATACTTGCTTAATAGATCTTCGCCAAAAGCAACAGCGACAGTTTTTCCAAAGTCATGATTCTCCAATTAAAGCAATTGCTGTAGATCCTACAGAAGAATATTTTGTTACAGGATCTGCAGAAGGAAATATCAAGGTCATACATTACTACATATCTAAATTAATGAGATGTAATTTTGTAGTTTCTTATATATTCATTATAACATCCCTGAAAAATATATTAAATTAATCCATAAAATTGTGTTCTGAATTATTTTATCCTTAGTCTTAACTTTTTAAAAATACTATTTATTTAAATATTTATGTTTAATTTCCATTCTTAATTGAATTCATAAAAAGAGCCATAACTAAAGGATCTGAGTGTTGACATAATTGTAGTAGTAGAACAAATATATAGCGTATTTATCAAACTTCAGGGAAAACAATTCAAAACCATAATCCATTGATTCTCTTTCTGTTTGTGTTTTAGGTATGGAGTCTATCTAATTTCAGTCTTCTTCATACTTTCATCAATGAACATTCCCGACAGTCTATTTTCAGAAATCTTGGGACAGGTGTCATGCAGATTGAGACAGGACCAGCAAATCACATATTCTCCTGTGGAGCTGATGGGACAGTGAAGATGAGAATTTTGCCTGATCGATTTAATTCATTTGGTGAAGTGTTGAAAACTGATGTGAAATATATGATCTAAAGTGCTGTTAGCACTTGTAAAATATTATAGAATATTAGCAAGCATAATTGTACAGGTAGCCCTATAGTAACATTTCCTGATGTTTATATTTATTTCTTGGAGCTTTAGTCCTTAATGCACTAATGCCTTAAAGGTTAGTAAGTTCCTTCTCATTCTGCATAAGAATAGTTTTTGAAGATCCAGTAAATATTTATTATGTATTTTGTTGAGTACTCTCCGTTCTTAATTGATCATAATGCCTCATTCCATGTTGATGAGCATGATCTTTTTCACTTAACTTCTAAAGACCATTCCATAAACAAGCCTTATAATGTCATCTCTCTTAGCCTGACAGAACGCTCAGTTGCCAAATTCCTTATTCTAACTATGGATATGGGTTGTACTTGTGTAAAATAAACATAATTACATAAGCAGATACCCATGCTATACTGAGATTTCCTATAGGAAGAAATGCTAATAGATGAGCCACCGCTGATAATGGTTTCCTGAAATCTAATTTGTTCACTTTTACAACTTGAACTCTGTCTTTAGAGTGAAGAATTAAAAGATAAACACTTGTCTTGGAACTTTTCATGCTTGAATGGCTGCTATCAGGATGGCAGTCTTTTCTTTAAACC